ATTGGCCAAAAACAAATCTCATGGTCCATTCAATTAAATAAACATAAATGTTTTTACGTAAACTGTTGATTATTCAAAGTTATATCTGGAAATGTGACTGCAGTGCAGATTTTACAACTTACTGCGAATGTCATCAATTAGGGTGCTCCATATATGAATCATAAGAAATGAAAAGCCCATTTTGCAAGCTTTGCAACTATATTTAAAATCACGTAATATTTAATTTTTACCTTGGAGAAATAGGGCATCTTACTCTCATCTCAATAGAATTCTCGTCACCAAGCCAGGTACCATTGGGGTAGTCATCTGTAAGCATGGAAATAAAACATTTGAATTAATAATACTGACATTAACTTCCATGATAATGATCCTACCAAAACATTTTACACAATGATTGAATTCAATTGCATTAGTGAATATTGCTTTAGATAGTCAATTTATCACTTAGGCCCATTCAAGCACTAACGACATCACTTCAATTTTTGTCAAACATGAGTACCGTATTTACTCTAGAGGTGCACATACTTATGTCAATGACAGAGGTTAACATTTTAATGATACATACAATTTTTGGTTTATGCAGTCCTAATAGAGCACATACAAATTATTATAAACTGGCTTTGCTCTATTCATAAAATAAATTACTTTCCTACCTTCTGTATTTAGTGTAATTAGAGTCACATTAGGTCCAAGATTAGGAGCCGGTGATTCAGCAACACCTGAACTAGACATTGGACTGCTGGCTGTACCCTCTGAAAAACATCACATTATTATAGTAGTGGAGAATAATGTAACGTTAAAACAGGATGCTTGTGTGATACGTTTGTGCTGTAGACACTAACTCTAGATGTACACAAAAGTCTTGCATACATAAAATAATTAACGAATATATAATTACTATAAAATGTACCTTGTGATTCACTCTGTGTATCTTGTGACTCCATCTTATGAGGTAATCCAATAATTATAGTGCTTTGTTTACGTGTAGCAAAGTTACCAGCATTGCTGCTGCTGTCAAGACATTCAAATATGTGCACACGTTAATAGACCATCGATTCCTGGATATATACTGAATCTGCAATACTTTTTTGGTATTTATAAATCACTAAGATAAACCTTAATTATCCATTTGCCATAACAATTTGCATATAAATGTTTGATTCAAAGTCTTGCATACATAATTTTGATATACACTTGTTGGTCATGGCACGCACAGTGAATAAACGTCAAACGGCTACGGGCTGTTGACATGAAAAATTTATTTTTCTTGCAGAGTAACATTAAAACCAGATTAAAAACGGCACCCGATTACCAAGCGCACCACTAGTTGAGAGTTCCGACTAACAGTGTTTTTGACAATTAAAAAACATACTCATAATAATAATGTTCCGACAAATTTTTAAATCAGCATTATTGTGAATTAAGATAAAGGTTTGATTGCTGATTAAGCACAAACTAAACCATTTGACGCTTTTATTGCAATGGAAATGTATCAAGAAGCATGCTTTTCTTCTCATTTTGTGAGAAACGATTAAGACATTATAAAGCGTCAACCATGTTGGATTTGAATACTCTTGCATACCCTAACTTGAGGCGAATATTACCAAAATGGCTGCCTGCTTTTGAAAGACATCTTGGGAGTTGTATCAATGAAAGAGATAATATCAAGATGAATTGGTGGTCATTCTTATTTTTCCCGAACTGAATTTATTGTTACTTAAACTGTAACTTAGATTATGAATAAATAATTTTATGTTTTTTAAAGTTGGATTTATTTATGTGAGTGAGAATTTCAATTTGAATCCATCATATGTACTAAATACAAAACACCCAGCCCCTAAAACTTTGAGGTTTCAAAATAATTTTTGAAGTTGAAACATTGTAACACAAACCATGGATCTTAATAAGATTTTAAAGTAACAGTTCGTATGTAAAGTGGTGATTGGAGTTAATCTTATAGAAATGTTAAGCAAGAAGTTATTTTCTCACTACTTCCAAGAACAAGACCGGGCATTGTTTTTACGATTCCATGCCACATTACAGAACACAAAAAGAGACTGTAAAACCTCAGTTCAATGCATCACTTGTCCACATATGTGACAAGCATATGTACAAAAATGGTTGTCAAGTTAAAGACACCTACCCTCTTCTACCTTGTGGTGGAGGTGTACACAGATCACCACTTCCTCCATGATCAACTTTTTGGTATGATGAATCTGCCATGTTGTCAAGTTTTTCTTCAAGATATTTACATCGAAGGTTGATCGTCTCTAGCTTTGTCTCTATGCTATCAAGTCGCAAACAAATAGCTTTGTTTACGTTAAATAAAATTTGCTGGAAAAAAATTATGAAAAAAAAAGATTAATGAGATGAAATATTAAAATGTGATTTCAAATTATTGCTTCATCATAAATGACCTTTTACATACCATTCTAATGTTGATAAACTTATAAAAATATCAGTTGTAATATTTTACAGTAAATGATACGAAACTATAGTCATGCTTAATAAATTGCAATCGCTTAGTATTCTACATACACCTTAAGGTTTTGAGTAATTTCTAAACCGATGAGCCAATTGTCCAATGGCTCCCTCTGGTTACTGTAAAACGTTTAATTTTCACTGCTACAAATTCACTGACACTCCACATTTTAGGAGCCCAGAGAAATTGTCATCGACTCGCAAGATTTTTCTCACTAAATTAAAGCACCATACAGTAGATCATGAACACTTGATGATTTATATCCTATAAACCATATTAAACTACCAGTAACTCATCTGCATGGTTTTGTGAATATTGACTATTAAAAATACATTTTTTAAACCAGCCTTATGCAAACAAGGTAGATTTTGTTTCTACTGCATGACAGCCAAATTTCTAAACCATGTGTGATATAGCAGTCACTACTTGGCAATTCATCATGAGATGGAGGAACTGTGAAACACAAAAGTAATTTACAGTGATCGATGAATACTATGATACAACTCGTTGCAAATGCAAGAATCTGAATACTTGTCACAAGCTCACAAGATAATAATTTTAAATCATACTTTTATTGTAGCCGCCTCAGTCAAGTTATCATCTTGAGAAATCTTCTGTCGTTTTGAAGGTGGTTCATCCGAGACTTCATCTTCTGCAGACAGCCAAAATTAAATATGAATACCATAGAAGAATTTCCCAATAATTTACAATAGGTGAAAATTATGAAATATCAAATCAAAAAATCTAAATCTTATAATAGTGAATAGAACTTACCACCTTGGCCATTAGTGATTTGACTAACTGCCATTTGTAAGGCATCTGATTCGCTCAGAGTCTGTTCCTCTGACATTATGACCTCCAGCTTTGCAGATTACTGCAACAAATTTAACATATAATTTATATTTAGCAAACTATGTTTTCAGACAATTAATCAGTTATCCTTTCTTTGTAATGCATCTTTTTTTGAGTGACTTGAAAACCTCTTTTTACATTCCTATTCTAGCATTGTAGGGGTGCAATATGTGGAATATTAGTATTTTTCACAATAAAAAAATATGAATACAAAGTTATTGTTGGCACTCACAGCCCAACATTTTTTGACAGTGTTGGCATTGTTAAAATATGACATCATAAATTTCAACAAGGGCAAGGAGCTGTATTACATTTGTGTGCCAACCCAAGATTGATTGTCATTTTTTAAGAAACACCAAACCCCATCAAATCAACTTTTAATCACCTTTCACAGAATAAACCTGCATAATTTTCCATTATCGTTTTTCAACTTTTTTAGATTAAAAACCTCAGCCAATGAGAATTCATTGGTTCGAAATTACCAAGGAAATTATAGAAAAATACATACGATTATGCAAAAGGTTTTATTAAAAGTTTGTATTAAAAATGAAAAAATAAGATGCTCCCCTCCTCCTGATAATCTTATTTTTTGTTATTTTTGAGACATCAATACCTTAATAACAACCCATTAAACTGTGAACTTTGTACAGACTGGAACTCTGGGGGTGGGGTGCAATTTTTATTTCAACCAACTAACTGACTCCTCTAAGCAATTATTTTTTTTCATATTTGATTTACTTCTGAATAGGTATGGATTCTTCAAACGACATGTTTTTTATTCTGACATGAATATAATTTGTCTTCTGCAAAAAATTCCTCTCCATAAATTTTTAATTTAAAAAATTAAATTGTTACACTTTAAAACAATTTTTAATAATTATTTTTATTAATTAAAAAAAAAATTCTGGCTCAAAATATAATTATGGAATAATAGTAGGAATAATAGTTGTCATGTCTCATCTGTAGTATGCAAAACAGGGAACTAAAATTTACATAATGAAACATTTAGTAAACATTGTCAGAATTCGAGTAGGACCTTGGTTGGTACTGACGAAAATACAACATTTTCCAAGCTTTTCAGAAATAGACATGTTAAACGCAGTTACCAGAAGTACTGCTAAGTTTTGATATTGATAGGTCAACAATTCTGAATATAATAACAGTCAGATTAAAAACAGCAACTTTTTTTTTATCGAACCCGCCAAAAAAAATAAATCCGTTGTGAAAGAAAATACAAAATGGCTGATCATCGTCGCATACAACTTTTAATCACTTTCCTGTCGAATATTTTGCAGGTTTAGCTATATTATAACAGAAACCCAGTGAAATACCTGAAAGTTATGGTCTCCTGAACAAATGGGTAAACTACGAAGGCTAACTTCGCCAAGTCACGAAAAAAATCGTCCAAGCACCGCGATAATGGCGTCTTCGTCTCGCGAGAAAAGACGTGACTGCGCATGCCCTGGATGCGCAGATCATTTGCGCAGCCGTTCAATTAATTTTTACTCCCTCTGTTTTTCATAGTATTTTATATTTTTTGCATTACTTGTTTTATTTACACTCATAATATATTTACACAGTCTTTATTAGTTATTTATTTTCGACATTGTATATCGTAATTATTGTCATAAAAATAACTACTTCCTATTAAACTCCATATGATTCCTGAAATGTAGAAATAAAGTGTTAAGTAAATAGAACAGCGTATGTGAAAATTCAATATGCAAATCAATTCGTGACACGAGAGTTTGGAAGAGGTCATTGTCTAGATTCCCAACGCAAGCAGAAGGTTTTCTTTTCTCAAAAGAAAGGTCGTCTACATGCGACCGGGGGACAACTTTTGATGAAAATATCGCAGCGTGGTTCTGTTTGTGCAAACGCATATCTTTGAAGGAAATGCCCGAATATAAACATTTTTTGTGAAAATACCTCCATCAAACCCAGACCGGGCCTTTCTCCCTGAAACAGTGCCAAAGGAACCTCCGGACGCGGATTCTAACACCATCAACTTCCGGATATACTTCCAGCCATGTACTTGACTACTTGCATCGTCGTTCTAATTCTCCAGATATTCTCTTTTAGTTTCGCGATCATAGACCCTGTGACTGGCATCGAAAGGGAACGAATAGTATGTCCTTCCAAAACAATGGTTTATGGTCCCGGGATAAACCCCAGTTTCACGGTGCCTGCGAGATTTTTTTTCATCCAGGCAGTTGATACAGAAGGTCAAAAGTAAGTAAACAATGTGATGTTATTTTCAATTCATTAATTGTTGATAAGATTACTGATGAAATAATTTAATTTTCTTTTTTTAGGAATTCCTAATTATGAATAAAAGCATTCAGGTTAAAAACAAGACATATGATAATATTAGTTGTAATGATTTGGAAAAACAATTTTAAATTCTGGGGAGAGATTTGAAAATAATATCAATTCACAGTGCTAGGGTTGTTGTGAGTGTTCAGTGTGGGTTTACTTATTCAGCAAAGTGGGAAATGATAATTTTTATATATAATATTGGTCGAAAACAATGTAGATGAAATTGTGCCCCAAAACACAAACTTTTTTTGAGTTAAAAATCAAAATTAATCTCCTGTGGGTAAAATGCATTATACAGTAATTTACCTCGTCTGAGGCAGATATCAAGAATTGGCTGATGCTGATTAAACCTGTTCGCTAAACGACAAACTTTCTGAGTTTAAATTAAAATTAACCCCCAGTGGAGAAATACATTTCAAAAGTGTCATCCATCCTTTCTTTGATTGTCATCAACAGTCTAAATAACACACAAAATGATGTCAGTGGCAAAAAATATGCTAGGAGAGGCCAATATCAATATTTATCAAACGATTGTGTGACTGCTTTTGGCCAATAACATTGACTGTACCATACTTGAGGTATAATATTATTTATTTGCATGTAGAAACTTTGTAATGTTTTGGGAAAATGCACGATATTTACGTCCCATACAAGTCATTTCAAATTATTTCCACAGTAACATTGCATTATAATTTATATATCATTTTGAAAAAAAAATCACTATACTTACACTTACTTATATTATTATTTTTTTATGTTTTTTAATAGTTTCACGTATTCTCCGGGTCCAAATGCATTTGTTGTGTCTATTCAGCCAAAACATAAAAGAGGACGACTTTGGACACAATTACTTGATCGAAACGATGGTTCTTTTATTGTTCGTTACCGTCTATATGACAGCTATGACGATATAGAAATTGACATTAAAAGTGGTAGAAAAGATGTTGCACAGTCTCCTTACTTACTTACAGGTAAGCAGCCACAAATCACAAACTATTTGTTTACCACTGCAATGTTGATGATAATGAGCTGTATTATACACCTTTTATTCATGGTGGGTGACAGTGACTTCTGTAACTTCCAAAGTATTCATATTTGAAGTTGAGAATATACCTAAAATAGTATTGGGGTTTTGGGACTATTGGGAATATTTGATTTGTGATTCAAACATGATTGGTTGACTGGCTTGAGTTATAGTTTTAAAATCTGTAAATATGAGATATTATTAGATTTATTACCACTAATTGAGATGAGATACTGATACTAATACTGATGAGAAAAAAAATAACTTTCTAGAAAATTTCGGATGTAGATGCCATAATGTAAAAATAAATCAATAAAAATATTTGTGTTAATGATAAAATTATTACATGCATAATGCAAATTGTTTTAAGGCATATATTATACAACTCTTTCATCTTTGAAGTCAACACTTGCCACAGATAAAGCTGTATAATTTGTTCCACTTTTTTAAAAATATGGTAATCAAGACTTGAAGTAGACTAGTATCTCATGTGAAAAGGGTTTTTTTCGTACAAAAATTAACAAAGAAATTATGGAAAAATACATAAAAAATCATGCAATGAATGCCGTTCAAACGGTTAACCTTGTGTATATTGCTAGAATATTATGATGCAAATTAATAAAAATGTTTGTGCATGAATAATTTATTTATGTTTAGATTTTCAGACTTGGAAAAGACACAGAATTTTAGTCAATTCATAGGACCCACATGATGTACAAGTGTCATAATGTTAAATTTGTAATAATTTCAGGTCACATATACCATGAAGACTGTTACTGTCCAACAGAAGATGAAAGTGATTGGTTGGATGATATGCAGTGTGGTGATGAGCTTCATCCCCAGATCAAAGAAGATCTTAAAATATTTTCTCAAGTTGATCTAGACAGACTAGCCAGTGAAGCACCTGACAGATTCAATCGTCACAGTTTATGCCACTACTCAGTTATTGATAACAAGGTAGTGGCAAGTTGTAGCTTTCTAAATCTAGAATCTGATATAAAAAAAAACATGTATGTGAGAAATGTTTTCCGTGATACAAGGAACTAGAAAATAAAAGTGATTCATGAAAATGAACATTGAATGATCCTTCTCTTTCTATTTATGAATACAGATTTATAGAAAAACGCATGGTGAACATGTTGGCTTTAAAATGTTCATGGACGCCCTGTTATTGTCAATGACAAGAAAGGTAGGTTATCAAAAGACTCTGTAAACAATGTAACATTTATCCTCCGAAATTCACTGGTTTATAAAATAATTTGCATAAAAATATCTAATGCGTAGAGTGCATTGCATTTAAATTATTCCACAGTGTCACTTTCAACTCTCTAATACTTTCACCAACATATTGTTTCAGAAACCCAAACAACAACATTGCCAGCTAAGTTGCCAACTGGTTTGCTATGTGATTTATATAATAAGTTTAAATAAAGTGAAAAGAGATTGCATCTTCTTGTGATAATGAATGTACTCTTAGTATTGGTTTGACCATAGACTTTAAAAAAGATAGGTCTATGGTTTGACAACTCCGGTTCAGGTTGGTTTGACTCAACTTGTTTCAATAATATAACAGTCTTGAGGTGCGCTCCAAAAACTAGAGTGCAACTTACCTGGCAATGTTGCTGTTTTGGTGTCCAAAACAATATAGCAGTCACAGTGAATACAAAGCTGCTGATGTTATATACCATTCATATTGGCCATTCCTGGAGGCTTTCGGCAGATAACGTGTTAACCATTCACATTTTTCCTTGAGGTGAAACTACCAGATATAGAATTGTTCGTCAATCTTGGAGATTGGCCACTAGAGAAGAGAGCAGCAAACAATGATCCTCTGCCTATATTCTCTTGGTGTGGTTCAACTAATAGTAGAGATATCGTTATGCCAACTTATGATTTGATGGAGTCTACCTTACAGACTATGGGAAGGTAAGTTGTTTTCATGCATATGATTTTAAATTCCAATGTTTAGGTTTGTAGTTCTATGTCCTCACATTGATTAGTCTCAAGTAACTACATTTTACACTGGGATTTTCAAATTGATGACCCAATAATAGGGAGATATTATAAAAGCATTCCTTGTCAATTCATGCATCCAATTTCTCATACAGTTGAGAATCATTAAGGTTCCATGTATAGTATTGGAATTATGACCCTACATTGAGATAACTCAAAATCTGCACCAAATAAAATATGGCAAACTCACTCTACATAATGAATATCTTGTTTCTTTCACTTACTATAGCTAATAAATAAAATGATATATACCGTACTCTGTCATCACAATTTCAAATTTGTATCAGGGAAAAAGAAGCCTGGAAATCATTTATAGCATAAAAAGTGAGAAAAAATAGTGTGTTGCAAACTTTAACATGTGTCATGTTTTTAGCTCCGCTGTCGACTTTGTCGAGCGGAGCTTATCGTATGAGTGATTGTCCGTCGTCCGTGTCAATGTTTTACTTATTCGACTTGTTCTTGAAAACTACAAGCCTGAATGCTTTGATACTTGGTGTATATGTACCTTGGGTAGACCTCTCTCAGATTTGTTCATTTCATGATCATATCTTCAATTCTCTAATTTTGGTAAATATTTTTGTCATTTTTGGTAAAAAGTGATATTTT